AAAGTCAAATAGAAATTAATTAAAACAAATAAAACATATTAAATTAAAATATGCAATAAAAAGAATGAAGTTATATAAATAATTATAAAATATAAATAATTCGGAATAAAATAGAAATGTAAAAAATAAAAATTAATAAAGTAAAATAATAATAAATTAAAGCGAAATAAAAATAATTAAATAAAAAAGGTTGGTAAAATAAAAAAATAAGCAAAAAAAAAATAAATAAAATGAAACAAAGAAAAATGTAATATAATATTTAAAAATATCGAGCAATAAAAAAATAATGGTATAAAATAGCACAAAAAATATAAAAAAAAATAGAATAAAAAAGTGACATAAAATAACTTATGTAAAAATATTTAATATAAAAATAAAACAAATATATTGGAATAAAATAAAAAAATAAAATGCAATAAAAAAATAATGAAAAAACAATAAAATATAATTTAAAAAACGATTAAAACTAGAATGAGCTCACCAAGATCAACCTGAGTTTTACTATGAGGTTTAAAGGCGGGCACAGAGTAAATAAAAAAATAATGAAAAATAAAAAATAAAAAGATTATTTGTTTTAAAAAGCAAATATTTATAATCAAATGATTATTTACATTGATTTTCCACATTTTTCTCTCAATTTTTCTCAATTTTCCTTACGCTAATTTTACATAGAGAAACAAATGACAGAGAGGCGCAATAAAGAAAGTACAATTTGACCAACAACCACGATAGATATGTACATACATATGTACATTTATGAAAAATGGCCGAGAGGCATCGAAAAGAAATGAACACTGGACAAAGTGTGATAATTAGACGGACAGTCAGTCGGCCATCTCGGTAAATACCTACACAGTCAGCCGTGCGCGTTCAGCTGGTGGACTCTGTTAAAGAATTATATAACAATATAAGCAGCTTAAGTCAAAAAGTGGTGACAATAAAGACAAGAGGAGATTTATATGTCTGTATGTATGTACCATAAATATGTAACACATATGTGTATGTATGTAGATGCGTACGCACAGATGTATCTAGGAACCTACTCAAATGTACAAATTTACTAGACCGAATGCACTTTGACAATGCGAAGAAAATTCAGTGAAATGTAGACATGAAAAAGCGAAAGCCAATTTGAATTACAATCAAGCATATGCATATGTACATGTGTATGTATATATATGTAAATATTAAAATAAACAATGACTGTTGCACCACTTAGACAGTTAGTTAGTTAGTTTACGCTGACGACATTTTCCTTTCAACATTAATTTCTGACATAAGTCCGTTTTTGTCTTTCCTCCTATCGGACTTTCCTATTTATCGGCCTAAAAAGCCAAATGCTCACTCAACGCTCAGCGCTCGACGCCATAAACTACTTGCCAATAAGTTTAAAAATATACACAATAGAACACAAACAATGTAGGAGCAACAATGGTAGCAAAACAAAAACAAAATAGTAGAGAAATGGTAAAAATCAGCATATTTCATATTATCTTCATTAGCATTCGTTTGTCAACAATGATGCGAACGAGTGGTCATAATGATAAGTTGGCTGCGGCAAACTCTTGCACTCACTCGGCCATTCAATAATTTAGTCAATAGTCGATAGTGAAGCGTTCACCAACCGATGAAAAGCCAATATAAAACCTCAACTCACTTTTTGCCTGGCATCACATTAAATGATTGAAATAAGAAAAAACAAAAATATATAAAAATAACTATAAAAAAATTATAAAAGTAAATAAAAAATAATCAAAATTAAAAAAAAAATATTTATGAATAAGTCATAAATGTGTGACTGTCGCCATGCTAACTAATAACGGGTCAGCTTTGATTGGTGAGCCACTCAGCCAGCCATCTGAGCAGGCAGTCTCTATACATAAAATGTTATTAAGTAAGCCACTTATTGGCAACGCATTTGTTGAGGTGCTTGCATGGCAAAAGTAAAATAAAAAAAATAAAAAAAAAAAAAAAAAAAATTAAATAAAAAATTATGTACTCATCTTTTATTCTAAAATTTCTTTTTTTTTAATTTTTTTGATATTTATTTATTTTTTAATAGCAAAATGGGAGTGCGCGCCCAGATATAATGAATTTTTGTATCCGGTTGTTGTATATACGTATGTACACTCATGCACTATTTCACGGTTTATGTGCACATACATATGTACGTGTATGTCTATATGTATATTAATGCTTTTGTTGCTTAATTTAAATTTCAGTTGACAAATAATAAGTTTTGTTTGTTTTTGTGAATAATTTTGTTCGAAAAAACACTGTTATTAAATATTTATATTTTTATGCAAATTTTGAGTGATATTGAAGATTTGAAGGCGTTTTTAGGGCAAGCACAGCTGTGTGACGACAAAAATGTGTAAGTCGAATGAGGTTGACTAATGTGTAAAAGCAAAAATTTGCAAAAACTTTATTATTTTTGGTTGTTTAAAATAAAATAGCAAAGTAAAATTTTTTCATTTGCTTACGAAAGGCGTGCTTAATTCAATGAGTGCTTATGACACAACTTACGAGTACAAGTGAATGAGGCGATTGAACTCAAATTAGTCGACCAGGGTGGGGCTGGTTAATAAGACATATAATAATCCTTATATTCCAATAAAACTTAACCAATATGTAAAATGTTCTTGGTTCTATTCGTAGAGGGGGGAAAATAAAGTTCTCACACGCGAGCTTAGGACGGCGGATGGGGATTGGTACCGAGCAAAGATCAAGTACTTTTTCGCACCTGAATTGGAGGATGTTGATGTCGACGACTATTTGTTCCAGCAAGACGCCGCAACATGTCGTACGGCAAAACGAAACAATCAATTTATTAAAGGAAACTTTTGCCTGTAGCGTGGCCTCGAAGATCGTCGGATTTATTTTTTGTGGAGCAATATGAAGTCACTTGTCCACGCAGATGAGCAGGAGACGACTGACGCCTTGGAAGAGAATATTCGGCGCGTTATTGCTGAAATATGGCCCCAATTGCTACGAAAAGTGGTCGAAGAGCCGGCTAGAATTTATACAAACGGGTCATGGCGGGCACTTGCTCGAAATCATTTTTGAAACAAAGTGATAAATCCTCATTTCTATGATAAATCATAATAATAAATTGTAATATAATAAACGTCTAAATGCATAAAAAAATAAATTTAAAAATAAAATCATCTAAAACCAACTTTTCTCGCAGTGTACATAATTGAAATTCGTTGGCTGTGACAGCTGTGCAGTATTCGTAACTGTGAAAATCTCGCCATTTAAGTATATTTAAAAATAAATCCGACAAATAGTACTTTTTTACTTGGCTCTCGAAGAGCGAACAGCGTGTCAAGTGAAGCACAGAGAGTGTGGAATATATTACATATATACATATGTACATACATAAATATGTACTACGAAGAACGATCGAAAAATAGAAAAAAAAAAAAATGCTGGAAACTTGCCAATTCTTCGTAGCAAAAAAAAAAAATCACACTTTTACATACATATATATGTTTATAAAAATTAAAAAATATACGAGATTACAGATATCGATATTATATTATATATCGATACTTAAATATGAAAAAAAAGTAATCCATTCTAGTAGACAAACATTGAAATATTTCAAGATTTATTAGAAAACTCAATAGCGATACAGAGTAGAACATAAGAGAGACTTAACCACATTTGCTTTGCCATGGAATATTCATCAATGATCTTCCAAATGTAGTTCTTCCTTATGAAACACCCATGTACGTGATGACGTCGAGCTCTTTAAATATTACTAAAAAGTAATCCATCATTTTTGAAATAAATGGCTTTAGTGATCTGTGACTCGCGTTCGATAAACGCGATTGGATTACGCTAGATGGCGTTAGAAAGATGATACTTTGTGCTAAACGAGATAATAAAAGAAGTGTTGGGCACTTAGCAAGGAGAAAATGGTTCTTTGTTCTATTGTACGTTATTCTTCGATAAAGGCGATAAAGCAAGTCTGGCAACTCGAAATATGAATAATGTTCATGGCCCTGATACTGTAAAAATCAATCAATTTTGTTGCAAAATATACTCCACATTGTGCGAAGCCATTTTTCGAAAATATTGACAAAATAATAGAAATCGCCACCTGAAAAAGGTTGGATACACAAGGAATTTCGATATATGGGGCTGCCACATGAGAAAAAAACTCATGGACCGAATCCCATCTGCGAATTGCTGCTGAATTGTATCAAAATTGACGATACTTTGAAGACGATTCTGACTGGTAATGCTCATCGAAGACGGTCACCAGAAGCGACCACCAGAAGCGACAGCTTGGACAGCTTATAGTCTGAGCCTCGCACCAAGCGATTTAAAAAGAAAAATTCTATATTTTAAACTAGATGAAAACCTATATTGCCTAAAAATGAATCTTAACATTTTTAAGAAGCTTTCTCAGTATATGGAAATATAAGTCTGTTTTCATCGATAAAAAACCGATTTCCTAAATTTGGCTCCTTTTTAATTTAGGTGAGAAATATGCTAAAAAAAACTTAAGCCCCTTCATTGACAATCAAAAGGAGGTTCATCTAACATTACATTCATTTTTAAAGAGCTTCAAAATGAACAGTGTTCGAGTTCCGTTTCGATCTAGAAATGTAATTGTTAAATCCTCCGGGCGTATTTCTGGAATCATATAAAAGTTCCTCATAAGACTATATCGGCCGTGCGGAGGCGGCTTAGAATAAACTGTTGGTCCCTTTATTTGTTGGTGAAACAATAATTTTACGAGAAAGTTTTGTTGATTTCAGAACAAGCGATTTTAATTGGAAGCCACAAAATAAATGATTGGATTAGATGAAACTTCAAGGCCAAATGATGCCACACTCGAATTGATGTTAATTGAATCCTTAAATATAATTATTTATATGACAAAGTTGTAAAAATTAATTAGCAATTAATTTTGAGCCAAAAATCCTTAAATATTATTCTTTAGCCCTCTAATTCTGATTATGAATAAAACATTCTTTACTACTTACAGCATTTTCTCATCGTTTGTTATCGGCTGCGTCTTGTAGCGATCGCGGTACATATCTCGCCGAATGGCGCTTGGCTTCAGTAATCTGGGCGTTGCACCACCCTGCAAGGGAGACTCCCAACTAGTATTCACATCCGTCGGTGTGGTGGGCGAGCCATTGGTGTTTAGGAACATTTCCATATTTTTAATGCGTTCAGCTACTGAAATGCTGCCGCCTGTGGTGATTGGCGCCGAAACAAACTCCACCGGTGCGGCTTGAGATGTTGCAATAGCATTTAAAGCTGCCGCCAGGTCCACTACTGGCGCCTCCTGACGCTCTAAGGAACGTGTACGTCGTTTAAGTAGGCCCGGTGAGTGACCACTCAAATTTTCACCACTGAAAACATCTTGCTCCAACTCTTCACCACCGAGAGAACGTCGTTTCGATGGTGAGTCAGTCTTTAATATTGGACGTACGGTTGGTGGTTCGCTGTAATGGCGGCCATCTTCACTGATGGAACCACCCAAATCAAACTCCTCCCGGCTACTCTTGCGGGAAGTCTTCAATATCGGACGTATTTCATATTCATCTGAATCGCCCGATGACTTTTTCTTCAATATCGGTTTTGGGGCACGCATAACATCATCACTGGTTATGCTTTCCAACTTTAGTATAGGCCGGATTTCATATTCTTCATTATTAGGTGTGTAGCCACACTCCTCATATTCCCCGCCTGCCGCTTGGTTATCGGCCGTTTCGCGGCCCAATTCGGCCGCTGCCATTTTCACAGCTTGTGAGATCGAGACGTGTTTAGGCGCATGTGTGCCACCATCAGAAGGTGTCGAGGTAGAGTCTTTCTTCTTCAATATACCGTGCGGATGTGGTTCGGTGGCTGAGGGACAGCCATCACTTTTACTACTTTCATAACTGCTCTGTTTGAGTATGCCGTGCTGTTGCTGTTGCTGCAGGCCGGCAGTCTCCTCAAGTGAGTTACGACGCGCGGACTTAATGAGTATGCTACGCTCATCTGGCGAATGCGAACGTGAGTAGTAGCGCGACTCATCGAGACTCGAACGCTTCTTAAGTATACCAGCGCGTTTTTGCTTTTTATTAGAGGTATCGACCACATTCGCCGAGAATGTAACAGGCGAGGCATTACTGGAAGCCGAGCTCGACTCACCCGCAATGTGATCTTTCTTCTTCAATATCGAAACAATGTGATTAGGTGTGGCTGTCAATGGTGAGGTTGAATGTACGCCTGCAGCCGAAGGTACTGCTATGTAAGTGGGATCATCTGTGCTCCTACGACGCAAAATGGGCGACAATTTTGGTGGCTCGTGGCCAGCATCACGTTCCATGCTGCGCGCTTTTAATATCCGCTGGCGCAATATGCCACCCGCCATTGTGGCATTCGAAATTGGCCTAGCCAGCTCATCGCCTGCCTCGGGTTCATAGTATATGCATTCCTCCTGCACAAATGTTGCATGTTTGGCTGGTGAGAGCTCACGCTCTCGCGCTTTAGCTGCGATATCTAACTCCGAATATGAGGGTGCAGGTGGCGGCGTCGCTGCCAGACCACGATTACCTATACCGTAACGCGCCGGCGTCGCAAGCTCAACGACACACTCGCCTTGATCCTCGCCATCATTGTTGAAAAATTCATCGCCACCGCGAACTGCCTGTGCAGCCAACTCAGCCGCTATACCCGAAGCCATCACAGCCCTTTCCACATTGGCCTGCTCAGCGATCTTTTTTATCTCAGCCAAATCGCTTTTAGTACGCTCATTCACTTTACGATTGACATCGTTCGAACGTAGTTTACGCAGCTCACCGAGATGTAGCGTGTCGCTGCGTCGCGCTAAACGATTGGCGCTCGGCTTCTCCCTAAACGCGCTTTCGCGCGCGTGTATTTCATGCTTGGGACTTGCAGTTTCGGAGCGCGCACGATGGCTAACGCTCGGATTGACGAGATCCCAGCCACGACGTGCGATTTCCATGTGGTAGGCCAATTCATTGTGTGTGGGCTTTCCGGTGGTAGCTATTTTCGGAGATATTTCCGTTTTAATTTGACGTGGCGAAAGCATCTCACGCAGGGCGGGATCGTCTGAGGGCACCAGTTGACGTACCATACCGAGCTCACGGCGACGGCGACGACGCGCCGCTAAGGAGTCGTCTGAAAAAGAAAATAATTAGGTGATTAGGAAATTGTATGGAAGAGCGAAAAGTTAGGTTAGTCAACGCAAAAAGGCATTGCTAAGAGCGAAGTGGATTAAGAGACTAGTGTTTGTTTTCTGCAGTTTTTTCTTACTGATTTGCTCCAACTGTTCTTTCTTCACATCCACCACGCTCCACAGCAATGCCAATATCTGAATATAATTAACAAAATTGTTTTGTATTTAACAATGAGTGTCTCGGGTTGGAGTCATAGTATGAAAAGGCTTAAAAACACAAAACTTAGTTGCACAGGGCCGGGTCTCCAAGAGAGCGCCGAACACAAGCAATTTCGGTATGCAAAAAACAAAGAACTCACATGCCAAACTGTCACAAAGCACAACATATTTAACACAGGTGACACGTGTTAGTACCGAAATGCGGTCACAGGATTGACACAGGATGCAAGTGCGCAGATGTAGGTGTTTCAGATACTTCTCAGCTCTATTTATTTGCAGCATATTTTCGTGCGCAACCGACGTTGCGTTTCCTCCGCACAACACAGCACGCGCGGACAGAAGCACAAAAATTTAATGATGAATTTTCCGTGAGCTGGGAGTAATTGTGATGCGAATCGAGTGTGGCTCAACGCTACGCACACACACACACACACAGCCACGTATACACAAGCGTATATCTCAAATTCTGCGATTACCTACCAACAACAACAATAACAATGTGCCAAATAAGCTATTATTCCTAGAATACTTTTGTATATACGCAAATGCCAAGTACGCTTATGTACATCTATACATGTGTGTTATGTGCGTATTATGTATGAATGTATATACATGTGTATGTAGATAAATTGTCTATCGAATAAAATTGTTCATAGGAAAATTGTCGAGCTTTTTATGGTAATTTGGCGGAAAATATTATTTCATACGCCAGCATTGTGGGCGCGAAAAAGAGTTCATGGCGGATGGTTGGGTGGCTAAATGGCGTGTGGGGTGTGAAATGGCATTGGCCTAATGCGGCATGTATGCCTGTTGTGCGCTGCCCACGAACGTGTAATTATTGAACCAAGACCAATGCGGTTAGCCGTAGCCGGCTGAGTTGAGCCCCAAGCCGTCACCAGACAGCCTGACAGTCAGTCAGTCAGTCAGACAGACTACAATGAGGGTCTAATAATCCCCAGTCATCAGCCAGCAGAGCAATTATTTTGCATAGAAGCAAATAAATTGTTATGTAATATTTTTCAAAAAATTTCATTTTTCTTGCATATGTATATTACATATGTACATGTATGTACGAATATATAACAGACATAAAATCTCAATTATTGTTTTTACGCCAAACAATTACGGTTTTATATAATTTTATGTAACATCGCCAATTATAAAATTAAGAGCAGTTGAACTAGTAATGAGAAGAATTTCAAGTGTCATTGACCTCGTTTAACTGCGGCTTTAAAAATATATTATCAAAAATAATCACTTAACATTTTATCTATGGGGTGGCACAATGTTTCATGGTTCGACTATGAAGAGGTTCGAGTGGCTGTACGTTGGATAGCCGGGATTAAGTCTGGTTAGAAAGAAACATGGTCAACTACAATATGCCGATCGATCTTAATTGTGCCGGTATTCTCACGAAAGCCGATTCTACGCACGGGAGTTGTCCCGGATTTTATTTTTAGGAAACATTAACCTCATTATTTCCCTCTGATATCTGCGCGTTGGCAACAGCGAATATCGCAGCCAAAGAAGTAGAGGAAGAGGATGACCTGCACTACGTTGGAAAAATCAGGTGGAGAAGAATCTGATTGGCGCCGAAAAGAGAACAAACCAAGGCTGAGGGTTGACTTTTCCCACTCACTCTCTGCCTTTTAATCCCTCACACCGCTTTCACTCTAACAAAGGTAACCATTTCTTATATTTTTTGACAATTGGTAAGGGCTTTTATTCACTCGTTTGCTTAGGACACTTCCTTGAGTTTCCTCAATATTTTCTCTGTGCCTTTATACGTCCACTTCATACTAGTTAGTCGTTAGAGTAATAGCTCTTGGTTATCAAAAAGACAATATGGGATCTGATATGCTCAAGTATTTCTATTTGACGTGTCTTTTTTCCTACCCCTAAAACTCCACATTTAACGGGAATGGTTTTTGATTTAGAACCCAATCTTCACAATCCACTAGGTACCCATGACGCTATGGTAATTACAAATTTGGCAATCCAGGACATTTGAAAAAGAAATATTTGTCCAAGAAATGGATGTCTCTTTTGAAGCTCGATTAATTCCTTTTTTAAAAATTAAGTTATTCGTTTCGCTAAATACAGCTTTAAGCTCAAATACTTCGAAAACACAATACAAATTGAAGGTGTTGGGATCGTTATAACGACCGTAAGACGAACCCATTGGTATGTATACCCAAGAAAAGCAATCAAGAAAAGCTCGTGTCTTAAGCTCTTTGAAACAAGTCGAAAAGAATTCAGAAATAGAGTTCTGCTGTTGTCTTTTAGTGCCAAACTGAGTGAAGAGTTCGTTTAAACGCTTTGTGTCAACCATACATACTTAAAAATAGCTTATTTTTCCTTAATTTTGCGGTTAGCAGCAGATATTTCAGATTGATTACTATAAGAAAAGATGAAAATGATATAATTCCATTTCATCATCCAAAATAAGGACGCCATCAATGTATGCATAGGGCGCCACAACTCACCACTATCTACGGTGGCCTCATCGTTGAGCGAGCGGTTTAAATTCGATTTGCGTTTCGATGATTTGTCACGATCCTCCAACGGGCTGAGCGGCTGCAAAGGTGCACAAGATATTACATAGTCATACTGAAATTATTTTATATTTAAATAACTACTCACGGTTGCGCCGTTCACCGGACTCAAATCCGTCTTACTCGGCGAGCTGTCACTACTGCCCGGCTTCAAGTCGTTGGCCGATTTCGCTTTAGATGATTTCATTGTAGAAGTGCGTGGCCTTGGCAGGGGTTTCGCGTGTTTCAACACCAAATGCGTGTCTGACTCCTCGGCGGTTGATAAACGACCCGCAGAGCGTGTAAAATTGGCAGTACACTCGGTGGATGGTGAAGGTGGGGTCGCGCTCGACCGTGGTTTCTTCATTTTCGAGGCTGATGTCTTCTTTGGACTTCCATTGAATTGCATTTCGCTGAGATTCTGTTTGACCGACACGGATACGGAGGGTACCAGTTTTTTGTTGGCGGTTGTCGAGTCATTGGACGATGAGGAGAGCAAGCGTGATTTAGTTTTGGTGGGTGAAACTGTGCCAGCGGGTATTTTCGTATCAGACTCTGAGCTCGCTGAGACGACGGCATGTGGATTTTCCGATGATGAGCTTACAGAGAGGCGCGGTGATTGTTGCTTTGGGGATGCAATTTGTTGGCATAGTGAGTTGATGATGGGTGAGCCACAGCAGGGAGAGCGAGATGTTTGACTGGCGTCATCTTCACAGCACTTCTTCTTATCTGTACGAAAGAAATGGAGAGAAAGAAGCAGGGAAAAAAATGGAAGAGGATGGAGAGTTTTGGTGTGGTTAGTGGCGTCAAATTGAACTCAAAACATGCTTAATTTTAGTTGATCAAGGAAGAAATTTATACAAAAATAAGTGCGTGTGTGAGAGATAGAGAGAGCTACTAGGCGGATTAAAAGTTATGGGTAAAGTTAGACAATCATAGCAGACGCGCAACAGCAGATCTCTCTACGAATTGTGGGTTATGTTAGACGCAATCAATGTTCCGTTATAAATATATATTTACGCTAATTATAAATATAGTATTAATGGTTTTAATAACAATCTGTAAACTTGATTAGCAGTTGGGTTTGGAAATTTTGCATTTTTTAACATAAATGAAGCCTACTTTTAGGCTATCAAAGACGGCGTTGCTCTTGTCAGTAGGTGAACTGAATTAATGACTTGCGAGATGAGTGTTAAATGATTTTATTTCCTATACAAAGCTTATTTACAGGCAATCGAATGAGTCAACTATGAATTACGAGCGGCTTTACGACATTTCTACGTCGCCCACTACACCCAAAAGTATGCTACCACAAAAACTACAGAGAATGCCACTCTACAGCACCTCCTCCGAGGTGGAGCGAGCAACTACATTTCCTGCTTGCGTGTGGGTGGACTCACCAAAGGCGGCTGCCCGCAAACGCGACGCCTTCGTTGGCCGCACATAATGTGGCGACGTGCACGGTGATAGCGGTGAACGTGCTGTAGAGGAGAATGGCGAGAGTGGTGGTGGTGCGCGTAGTGGCGAGTGTTTGACGCCAATATCTGACGGTTGTTGCGGTGACAGCGCGTTATGTTGATGACTCAGTTGATGAGCTGTCGTTGACAGCACCCCCTGTGGCCTGCTTGTACTCGAGGTGGTGGTGGTGGTGGTGTTGAGTGGACGTGTTATAATTTGTAGCGGTGATAACGGCTTCTTTCGCACAACAACAACAGCCGGTGCACTGGTGTTGCTGCTGGTGTTAGTGTTGTTGCAATTAATGTGGCTCGTTGCAGCAAGCATAGCGGCGGCTTTTTGTTTAAGCAGAAACGTTTCAGTTGGCATCGCATAACTGTTATTACTAGTGATAATACCGTTACTGTTATTGTTACAAATGCCATGCGTGTTATTGTGATTGGCGTTACTGTTGTTGTAATTGCTTTTATTGTTCGGCTGATGTGGTTGCTTCAGTTGACTCTGTTTTTGTTGTTGTTGTTGTTGTTGTTGTAGTTTACGTTGATTTGGAGAAGTCATTGCCGGCTTATTTACACTACATTCGAATGTGTTTGTCGTTTTGTTGTTGTTGTTGATGTTGTTGTTGTTGTTGGTGAGTGTAATTGGTTTGGCAGGAGTTTTATGTGGAGACTTTGGTGCAGCGAGGAGAACGACATCGTATTTGCGTTCGTGCTTACCGTTAGCTGTTGTGAGTGCACAGATGAGTGCATGCGTGACGTAGCATAGCAAGACATAACATAACATGGCATAGCATAGCGGTCGGTGTCATTAGAGAAATCCATATGAGAGAGCAGTGCAGAGAATATATTAAATGGACACAAAGAGTAATAGAGTGTTAAAGTATTTATTGGTGGTGATGGATGAAGAATATTTAAATGAGAGACTTTTGATGAATTTATAAATAGATGAAAAAGAGTTTTTAAACCAGCATTCAAGTTGGAAAAACACAATCTTTGAAACCTCATAAACGACTATTTAACCTTCGGTATATTTTTCGCACGTCAATGAAATTGTAAACAAAAAATTAATAAAAATATATATAATATACATATACAAAAAAAATATATATAATATTGAAACTGCTTCGATAACATTTTGGCTCCCTCGCCCCAAAAAAAACCTTAACATTTACCTTTTTATTTTTCAATAATTAAATTTGATTTTCGAAAAAGTACCAACACTTCCCAAAAATTATATAAATTATGTTTCAATATGTATATGCTTGTATCTAGCAATATTAGACTTTTCTGACATAAAAAAACTTCTTAAATTGCTTTAGCAGTAACTATTTTTTACTAAAAAAACATCGTTTCAGAGATATTTCGAGCTATGTATGTATGTACATTGCTATTAGTAATTTGGTAACGAACTCCAAAATTTAACGGTTTATTTATAATCGTTTGCGAATTGAGCTGAAAGGTATGTAGTTAATTTGACAATTTCCTAATGAAATTAATAATTAAGCAAGAGGAAAACGAAAGGGGTAGACAATTGATAAAAGATCATCTTAATAGTAGTAACAAATGAGTAGATAGAGAGTTTTCGAATAAGTAACAGAAAGAGTGAAAGCCAAACTAGTAAATGAAGAAAACTTTAATTGGCATTTAACTAACTTAAAATGAAACCAACGAAAAGCAGTAGCCAAATTATTAATTAAACATAATTTTTTGTTTGGAAAAACAAAAACATTTAAAATTTACGAAAAATCAAATGTTTAAAATGTTTTGTTTTATGAAACAATGAGATCTCGAACTTTACTCTCTCGAAAGATTTCGAAAATTTACACGTCTACATGGACATTGTTTTCGTAGCCATGAACATTTTTCTGAATTTTCAAAGCACTCACTACAACTACTCTCCAAGTGTTGACTTTTTTTAGAAGAGGGAAAGTTTTAGGAACCCATAAAAAGCCCTTAGACAATGGCTTAAGTCGAGACTCAAAACCTCCACACAGCCAAAGCTCCAAAGCCTTTTTACGCGGCATTATTTAAATCTCCGAGTCTGACCCCCGAACTTCCATCCGCGTATCGCTGCTGAATCGTAACAAAATCTGTTAGGATTACAGTTATAGTTTTTACAAAACTTTACTGGATCGTGTTCGTTGAGCAAAAAACCCCAGTAAAAATTGGTAGCGAGAGAGTAAAGTTTTGACGTTTAGTTGGAGAAAATGTTGCCAATTTCTTGCTAGGAAAATTTGATCGAGTAAAAACTAGAAGGTATGAAAAATGGCTGATTTGTGATCATATAATTGAATTTTTGTCGACAAAGAAAATGATTTAAAATTAAAATGATTTTAATTCTTTGATATGAATTATATGCCAACAAAATAAGTGCTTAAATGTGTAATGTTGTTTAATTTAATTTAACTGAACAATATTAATGATTCCAACAATAGTAAAGGCACTCGTGGCAGTGGAGAGGAATCATCGCCCGCGAGCTTCCGTTGAGAAATTAGAATTAGAAAGGCATATAATTAGAATATTATATTATTTCTAGAAAGCAGTGGCATAATAAATTCGAAGCAAAGTTGTTGTTACGGCCACAATGAGGACAATGCATTTTTAATCTTACGGATCAGTAGCTTTTAGAAGGAAAAATAAAACACTTGCTCGGTTTTTATTTAAACAGAATCGAATAAACTCCATAATAATGTTAAGAACATCAGACTTATTTTCGTTTTAAAGTCATTCCTACTGAAAATCCAAGCCACGAATGGTCACAAAGCAAGTGTCAATCCTCGCCCATTTACTGGACTATTAGGAAAAACATATTGAGATCTTTTAACCTTTGGGCACCTATAGGACATTTAGATTTTCATCACTATTAAAATGCAGTTAACAACTTGAAAATGTCGCATAATTGCCAATTTTATTAAAACACTTAGGAAAATACTTAAAACCAGAAAAAATAAACTGTGTAAATGAACGAATTCAAAAGTAACCGTCTGCTGGATCATGATCGTGAAAATGATCTGTCCCCTGGCCACAAGAGAAGCCTTTGAAAATTGATGGCACCAAGTTTTTGCCAATTGGGACAAGGGTTTCCATGAGAGTGGCAAAATTACAAAAAGTTATCGAGCAAAACGGTGCATATCTGACATACACGAACATCGAAGGAATTCAACGCGCTAGTTGCGGCTGGCTCAACAATTTCCAGAGAATTCTGACACTTGAGGGTTCCGGATCAAAAAAGTGCACATACATACATACATGTGTGTATGTATGTAAAAAGTATCGCTTGAAAATGCTCAGAGCCAACGAAATGCCAGCTGGTGACAGTTGCAGCCAATTGTTTTCATTTGTTTTGTTTGTATGTAAATTGTGTGCGTCATTGAAGACAATTTTGAAAAAAAAGAAAAAAAAAAGTATTAACTAAAAGGGTAAACAAAATTTAAAGTGAAAACCGTTTAAATAAAAATAACAATCAATGACAATAGTAAATCAAATATTATAGTTATGTATGTATTTGAGTATATCGTAAAAAACAAAAACAGAGAAAAAGCAAACAACAACAAAAACTATACACCAGCTGCGTGTCACCTTTAGGCGAAGCATTTGAGATAAAAAAGCCATAAAAAATAATAACAAAATTTCACCAGCTGCAGTTGGCCTCCGGGCTGTAAGCACTCGCGCATACTAAACGCACACACACACACATACGTCTACATACAAACACATGTAAATAGGTAATACGAGTGGAGAGCCGTTATAATTTGTTAAAACCTAAATTAACTAAAAGCATTTCGTTTGACTTCACACTTTTTTCATTCGAAGCGAGCTACATGCATACATACATACATACATACATACAACATACTCGTACTTACAGTCGATTGCCTGTTAAACTGCAGTGGCTTACAGATGTAATGTAGTACGTATGCATGTATTTTTGTAAGCAAACCAGCGCTGCCAACCAAGCACGAAAATACGCTGTAATATTACGAATGCAACACAAAAAAAAAAACCAAAAACAAAAACAAAAAAAATAAAAAACTAATAATAAATAATAACAAAGCAACCGGTCTTACAATCGCTGCTGGCCACTAATCTAGGCGTAAGGCAACCCCAGTTATCCCAATTAAAAAACTATTTGTTGTTATGTAGATTTTTTTGTAATTTTTTTTTTGTTTTCATACACTTCATCAGCCAACTGTTTAGCATTTAGCTTTGATTACCTTATCATTATCATTTTTTATCTTCCGAATTGAATATTTTCCTTAATCCGACGATTTTACTTGTCACTTGCAACTGATGGTTAAATGTTAATTTATGATTATAGGCTTCTCTCTCAAAGGACTACACAAAAAAAAAAAATCCCAAAAAATCGTGCTATAAAGCAAATAAAAAAGAGATTTAGAAGAAACCTTGTGGAGATTGTCACCCTTTTCATAACCCTTTTTAAGGTAAAAGGTAAAAGGTCTTAGAACAATTTTTCATTATAAAGTTTGAACCTGAGGCCAAGGTGATATATATGTAATATGAGAAACACTACATCATTCAAATGGCCGCCTCGCGAATTGTTTTTGGGCAGTTTGAGATAATTTTCGACCACTTTTCGGCACATATAGGCGGTATCTCATCCATAACTTGACGAATGTGGGCTTTCAAGTGCTCAAGAGCTAATGATTTACCCATAAACATGGTATTTCAAAGTAGTAATTAGATCCTAGGTCGGGACCAAAGAGCGTACCAGAAAGTAGGTTTTTTTTTTTTTTTTTGGTGTAATGGCATCTCTTCAATTATTTGAGGATTTTTGGAGCCCCAACTGCCACAGTTACTCATGGGATATGTTGCTATTTACATATCCCATGAGTAGGAAATGTGCCTCGTTGTTGATAAAAATTTTGTTTTGAAAACTGCCACCCATTGCTGTTTTTTCAAGTACCCAACCGACGTGTGTAGGGCGTTGTGAATGGTCAGCTAGTTTCAGTCGTTGTGTGAACTGGACTTTACATGAGACAGTCCCAGCTCCTGAAAACGTCGAGCAATAGACAAATTCGTGTTTCGGCTACATTTTCACTTAGAACGAGCAAAACAATATGTGTAACCGATCCAGTCGCTTGAGTAGTTGGACGAATATACGTCCTACAAAATCATTTTTAAGCATGATACGTGGCCACGCTTGAATCACCATTTATGTCGTAAGTTTTCACAATTTTAGCGCGTTTCGCTGTTGCTACGCGATTCAGTTTCATAAAAGCCTAATTTATAACTAAAACAAAGCATGTTTGGTTCGTCAGATGTGAAAATCCAGCCCCATAAACTGTAGGTTCCTCCATTTGCTGGAAAATCCTCTAGACGCCCACAACAAATTGGAGAAGAAGCTCGGCCGAACGGTTAAAAACCGTTGCTTTAAGGGAAAGTTTCCAATTCGGATCAGACGAAGGTTTGACCGTAAAAAGAGCACTTCGCTGGGAGAGAACTCAAGACAATAGAACAACTGTCTGCTCTCTGAACTAAATATTTTTTCATATTTTAAACTTGATGGAAATCGGAAAAGGAGAACAATTTAATACACAAAAAATTTAAAATAAAAGTTTTCATTCAAAAATTAACACTAAAAAACTTGCATGCAAAAGATAGAGAAGAAGAAAATCATAAAGAAAAAAATCATGCCACAAGGTAAATTATTGATAACAATTCGCACGTCAAAATAATGAAGAAAAACAGAAACAAAGTAAAAAATTTTAACGCTTTTGTAAAAAAAATGCAATGCAGAATTAAAAAATCGCTCAACTGAGCAAAACAAATGCACGTAACGAAAAATAAAAACAAAACAAACAAAAAAACAAAAGAAACACTAGTGAAATGCGTGAAGAAGTAATGAAAAGACACGAAAAAGAAAAATCTCACACTTTCAACTCACCTGCAATGGCCACCTGAACGCCAAAATTCGCCGAACCCGCTTCCTCGTTCGCCGCCGTCTCGGCAAGGTGGACCTCTTCGCCCGCATCTCGGGCAGACGCGCTGCCGTTTGCCGACGGACGCAGCTCGGCACTAGCTGTTGGGGTCGCTGAATTCGTCATTATTTGCAACGGTGATAACTGTATGTGAGCAATGTGATCGCCTGATGAGGCAGAGCCTACATCCTCAATGGTAACAACACCAGCGCTTGTGTTAATAGTATTAGAGGCTGCGGATAAGTTTAGACTGCTGCTATCTGCCCCTACAGCAGCCAAAGTGTGACGATTCGCAGCTGGTGGCGATGGTGATGGTGATGAGGTGGTGGTGCCGGGGTGTTGGTTGCCGCTGCGACGTGTTGAATGCGGTGAACTATGAGCACTGTTGCCGGTGGTGGTGCGTCCACGTGATGGCGTACGGCTGGGACGATTTATAAATCTGCACGGAAAGGAAGACGCAATCAGTTGTGGGTTTCAAGTACTGAAGACAATAAAATGAATACTACGATTGACGCTGACCGTTTTCTCGCCACAGTTAGCGACTGAGTAAAGCCAAATTTGTACGCTTTGAAGTAAAATTTAATACAGTCCTTTATGCTATATGCTATATGTATGTATCAACGATTTTTATATATAGTTTGTTTATTTTTATTACAGTTAAATAAAATATAACCGTAAGTTTTTCTCTACCAACGAACTAAACAATACCAAACACGCTAAGCTACTGGCGATCACGTTCAAATCGACAGACCACATTCACCAGCGCGCTAGTCACCAGCCGTGAGCGAGCCAGCCAGCGAGCGCGCTCTAATAGTGCGCAGAGTGACTCGAATAAAAGTGGCTACACAAACAAAACATGATTCGTATCTATGAAATATACTCATACCAACATGTGTAGGTAGATACATACATACATACGTACATACGTACATACAAAGAGTCCAACCAAAACTCCAGTAAACATTCCAACAGACAGGCAACACAAGAGACAGTTGCTCCGCGAGTCAGACAATCAGCCAAAGAGCCAGCCGAACGAATCAAGCTACCACAGCAGGTTTAACAGCTTATTGCTTTTGTTGTTGTTGCAGTTTTCAGACGCTGTTGCGCGCAATATCCGTTTGCACACACGTTTATAAGTAAATTTTTGTCCGTCCATGTCTTTCTCTCTATTGTTTGGTCTTTTAGGAAGTTGAGTATTGTCAAAACGTGTAGGGTTGAGAAACAGTCCAATAAAACAATTTTCGGCAAGAATTAAAAATTCGAATTTGCAAAGCAAACGGAAAGAAACTACTCAAGACTCTTTATGAGCAGAGCTGAACGACAGTAGAAGCCGGTATGTTGTCAAACAAAGGTAGAAGAGTGAATACCCAGCGGTGAAAGTGTGTGTAACTGGACAAGTTCCCAACGGTACAACAGTAGTTTCAGTGCAGTGCAGTGGTCTTTCGGCGCGAACAAACTCAAGCAGAGACAAATCGAAATCTAACTGGCGAAGTGGAAATGAAGGATTTTGTCCAGTTTAGTTCGAAGAGACCGTAAACTCTCAAGTGCTGTGGGCATCATCCGAACTCTTTAGGGAAAAGCTTGTCTAATGGGCTGTTATGTCTTAATTTAGTTAAAATATTTGAATTCTTACGACAAAAAAATCCCATAGTATATATATATATGTATATATCCATTCCAAGAAGAATTCGTTAGCAGTGTAATAATGGAGTTTCGGAAATATAGAGGGATCAGTCGGAAGTATTTTCAATTTTCTCTTATAAATGCAATAAGCCTTTTAGATACCATTTCGGAAAAAAAGCAGCCAGAAATGAAGCACTTCCTAGTCTCGTGTTTTAGAAGATCATCTTTTAAGCTTGAGGTCTAACGGGTCCTACTTAGGTCCTGAACTGACTTCGTATTGTTTAAATTATCTTAAAAAGAAATTCCTTTCAGGTTTTTTTTTTATTTTAATGCTTAGAGGTTTCACAGTTAAAAAGGCAGAGAGATGAGAGTTAATTTCACTGATAAAATGAAAATTTCAACTTAACGTCAATCGTAGAAAATTATCTGACTAAAAGAGGTAAAAATATTGTAGTTCCAATTTAATAAATATACTAAGAAGTCTAAAATGCCTAGATGGATGGCACTTCACGAAAATCACTTATGAGGTCACATGGGTCTCATAGCCTCAAAAGAAAATTAGAACTTTTTATTCTCTTTTTAATTTTACAACATTTCGGGAATATTATCCTAAGTTTTTAGATCGATCTGAATATAAGTTTCGGAGTTTTAGTCATTGGAATGAATGCGCTCAAAGGTAGGTGGCTTCAGCGCTTTAAGCTTCAAACGAGCTCGTTTCGAAACTGTGGCTTCAAAGTCGTTTTCCAAAAGTTCACCAAAACTACTCAACTATCTTGATAAAATTTTACACAGGTCTTAGAGAAGAACTGTTTTTTTCCAGCTACAATGTTTAAAAAAAAATGTTGGGCAAATTTTACCATAAACAAAAATCTGCCAATAATCCAAAATACAATTTTTAAATTTAAAATAAAAAAATCGTTTTTAAATTTATAGCTTCAAGACAGTAACTACTTTGAATAGAATATTTCAATCTTTTTTTACTAAAAAAAAAAATTTGAAAATACCCTTCTCCTCTCCATGCAACCCTTTAACTATACAGGCAGAATTGACTCTTTGTAATTGCCGGGATATGAGTACTCTTGTCTCGTAGTCATTTTCCATTAATTGTTTCATAGTTTTCTATATTCTAAGTTTCGCTGATGGGTTATCACTAACTCCGAGATTCTCTCACAAGGAAAGAAATGAGTGCGGATTGTGGTGCAATAGAAACAGAAATAAAAGTGGAAAAATAAACCGATAACACACTCAAAACAAACTGAGCAATCGGCGGCGCTCAGTTTGTTTTGTTTTTTTTACTCGCAAATACAGTAAAACATGCGAGCTTGAGTTTAAGGGGTGTTTGAGTATCAAATCAGATTTATTTTTTTTTTTTTTTTTTCAGTAAAAAAAACGTTGGTAGAGTAACAATGAATAGTTTTTTTATTTTATAATAAGGAAATTACTTTCGAAAAATAAATCTCAAAATTATTTAAACAATATCTATTTTAAATTATTTTTCAATATTTCACTTTGGACATTATCTTAAAAAGTTTTACTATGCTAACTAAACGAGGCACCCTTTTGCCAAACACATGGCAACTCAGCTGGGTGCAATACTCACTTACTCCACTCATTTGTGGCAAACAAAGCGCGGCAACGAGTCCAGCTGCACAGCAGCCAAGAATGCTATTTGCAACACACATACTTTGATTAGCAATTGGGAAATCTGCAAACAACTACAATAGAATATATCGCGAGCTTCAAAAAAAGCAATATTCATCCTTTTAATGTAATGAACAACGCTTTCCTTGGAGCTCAATAAACTCTATATTCGAACTTGGTTTAAGGTTAAGATCCAACTCAGTTTTTAAAGTAAGTATACTGAGGCTCCCGCCGCCGGAGATGTTTCATTATCGTCACGTTGGCAACACAGTAGTGTGGCCTTTATGTCAACAAGACAACACGTTCCGTGAACAATGTCAATATTATATCTCGCTAAGTACTCGACGTCAAAAGCCCGCGTTTCAGATTTATGATGAAGTGCAACCTACTTATAGTGATAAAGGTAAGAATGGCGGAGACATGCCAGTTGCAGGACAATGTCGGGACACACACAGCTAACGCTAGGAAGGAACGTTTAAACGGAATGTCTTAAACCATCCAGCTCTTTGCCTTGATCTAGCAATTCAGACTACCCTCTTTAAATTCAGCACATGGTTGGAAAAAAGTTTTAAACCGACGAGGAGGTAAAGGAAGCGATGGAGAACTGGACGAAGAGGCTGAAAACTATTACTTTCAGGAAGTCATCAAAAAATTGATATCCCGCTTCACCACTTGCACAGGGAGTAATGACCACTTGTTTCGTTGTTGACATTGCCTGTGACAGTCCCTCAAGTTCGGCGCGGAATGGACGCTGATACTTGGACTTAGAAAAGTGCCAATTTTCGATTTTAGAGAACTTCGATCTCTTAATAGATAAATATCATACTAAAGAGAGAGAAGAGAAAATACTAAAATTTAAGTCTGTCACGCAATCCTCACAACATCTTCAGGCGCTCATTTTAATTTATTAATTAAAAACAAAAATTAAACAGAAATAAATGCGATAATCTCTTTTACACAAAGCCTTTCTTTTCTAAATAAAACACGAGATCTCCATAACAATGCAGGAACAACAAAAAACGATCATTTATTGCTGAATTTCAATGACAAAAGCAATCCGGCGATGCCTTTCATGGACTTGTCATTCATTCAATTTTCAGCTGTCATATTTTTCCCCACATTGTTTTTGTTTTTGTTTGTGTGGTTTTTTTCTTGTACAAAACAAATGCCTTCTTTCGTTGTCTGAATGTGTGTTAGAGATTTTATATTGCACTTTCGCTGGAAATATTCAAATTCAAAGTGGCTCAAATGATTTCTCACTGGTTTTCTGCACCAGCGACATTTCTACAAATTTCCTTTTTTTTCCTTTTTGCTCTGCACGGAGGTGAAGAATTTGGCATTTGGCTCTGCGTGCCTGCGTGCCCGATTCGTATGCAAAAGTTGCTGCACCTCCAATTAGACTGGGCGTTTATGCGTAGCATGAAGTGTGCATAACAAAACAATTACTGGGGAGGGGCGTGGCGCCACTTTGGCTGCGTCTGATCAACTATACATACTAAATGTGCGTATGTATGTATATTTTTCTTGGATCTCGCTCGCTTAAATACGTGATACTTGCTATTGGGCGGCTTGTAAGTCGTCTGCTATCGCTGGCAATTAATTTGCGTTTCCAGTTGATGGGTTGCGTCGATAGCAGTGTCTACGCATGCGCGTTGGCGCAGTGGATAAACTAGCGAAGCAGTCCGACAAGTGCGGTCTTTTTTCTATTTGTGTGTGTGTTTTTTTAAGCAGTTTGCGAATGACTTATGACTAGTGGCAGCTTTTGTCCATTCGCCTAAATATTTTCAATTAAATTTTGATAATATCAAGTTTTTTCACAGTTTTCGCCGCTATTTGAAGCCAATAATTATACGGATAGATACAAGTGCTAGATTTGCTGAGCTTATTTAAGCCATAAGCCAGGCTTTCGTCTCTGCGTTCTTGTCAATGCTACAGAAAGTGCACGATATTGAATCTCCACTAATCATTTGTAACGACTGATAGTGTCTTAAGAATGATACCACGTACAGAACGCAAGTGGAAAAATTTCACATCGTTCGCCATTCACTTGGGAGTGCTTATAATATATGATTCAAGCAGATCACGATTTCCGGTCTAAGACCAATCAGCCTCTGATCCGCTTGAAGACGAGCTAAAGTGGGAAGGTGCACGCTGGGTGAAGCTGGTTGAAATTCTTTCAAATATTAAACCCGACATTACTGCCGTCGAAGAAGTTCAAAGGATGGAACAATGTTGGGAAAAGTGTTCGCTTATGAGGCTTCCTACATCTGTCATATTAAGGAGCACAAATTTGGTGTTATATTTATTTGTAGCGGGAGAGATACCCCGTCGCTTAGTTCTGGCATTCTCCCCACCATTCAGATAAAAGCGAAATTCTTCAAAGCATAAACGCCTGAAGTTGCAGGACTTGAATGACCAGCCGATGATGGTGATTGTTACCTGACTAGGACGTGGAAGGACTTCTTGCTCCTTAATCCCATTTTGAAATTCGGCAACAGAGTACTAACGACGAGTTGCTAATTAAGGTAGCGTTCCTACCTCCATATCACGTAAAAATTTACCCTTTCAATTGTGCGTACTCGAAACAATTATGTACATACATACATACATTCATAAGTACATATGTATACCGTACTGCTGCTATTTTTGACTAAAAATGATTCTGTTTATGTAAATTTTCCATTCATCAGTCAGTCAGTCAGTCAGCGATCCGATGCGACTGGTCTTTCCGTCTGTGCCTCCAGTCGACATAATAACACGGCGTCTGTATTTCAAGCCTCATAAAGTTAATTTACCTACAAAAGAAATGCCGCTGGCGACGACAATAACAGTAACAATAAAGCCAGAGCAATAACACATAGCATACAACAATAAACATAAGAATAAAGCAATAACAAAGTGACGGCGGCGGCGCAACGATAGTCAAAATGACAAAATACCAATTATCCGAACGACCGAAAAATGACAAATTGTCTACAACAAAAACAAAAACACAGAATTTACGTATGTACATACATATAAAGAAGTGAGACAAACAAATGGAGAAACAACCAAAGGAAGTTGGAGTAAAAAGAAAGCGAAATAATTTGAAAATATGCTGGGCAATATCTTTTCTCATATATGTACGTGAGTAAGTACATATGTACGTACGTACAATATGTACATTGTATATGTATTTGTCTGCGTCTGTAGGTAATCCACCATACCCAGACAGATTTTAGAACTCACTTTAGAAATGAAATTTTCCGTATTTGAAAGAATTCGCGCTCCACATCCACTCAAGTTGTCTCGTTTATGGAGAGCCCCGAAAGACTTTTTGTTTGTTTTAACTTTTTCTCTTTGCCGACAAGATATTAAACCATCCCTGGTTAATTTTTAGGAAGAGCAGTTGGGAACAGACTGCCAAAAAACAATGTTTTCATTCGTGGATCCAAACTTTGGCTTCATACAACGGTTATAACAGTTTTATATAACAACGAGGAAGATTTAAAAAACTGCTCGAGATAAAGATTTAAGTGAATTGAGAGAATTACAATAGTTTGTGACGGGAGTTGGATTACTAGCTGAAGAAAGGCTTCGAACGCCGCTGTAGACAATGGGCTGCAGGAGTTTAAGAATTTGTATCTGCACATGCTGCCTAGAGCATTTCTTTCTTATCATCACTACTCAGTTTCAGAGAAAAGTTCAAAGGGATGTGTCTTGAAACGTTGCCGCTGGTAAATTTAGAGAACTTCCTTCACTGGTCAATGCCAAGCAAGCCATAAACTTGGGGAATAGTTTAGAAAATCCTTAACGTCTGGTTCAGGATTCAAAAAAGCGATTTCATAATATTTTACTGAAAGATTATTTTGAAAACATTATTCTAAGTTCATTTAGTCTAAACTACTTATTACTTACAAACAAACTACTCAGCACGAACTACTAAATAAATATGTTTCACTTACCTTCTCGCCTTGCTGGATCCACTCTTCTGTTGATTCACGCTCGAGGAGACACCTTCATCGTCACTCAACGCCTTGGCCGACTGTTGTGGCAGCACATCACCCGGCGCAGACGGCGAGAGCGAGTTCAAATCCGGCAAGTCCGTATGACGACGCATCTCTTCGCGTTGCCGCCGCTGATGGGCGCGACTGACTCGCTCCTTGCTGTTACGTGTCGAGTTGAGATTGGATGTTTGCTCAAGCACTACACCACTGCTACTACTATTCGCATTTTTGACAGCGCTAGCAGTGCTCGACGGGATACCACTCAGATGCATATTTACAGGTTCAATGTATAACTTATCGGGGGAGTAACCGAGACTTTCATCGTCGGCTGTACTAGGCGAGCGTACGCAACTACATGAGTCGGACGACAGGTTTGGTGGTGGCAATGAGGATTGATGATATTCATATGGGTAATGAGACGACGATGTGCGATATGAGTTGGATGATGTTTTGCGACATTCGCAACCCGTATGACAACGGCAATGGATCGAGCATTTTTTGGTCACACTCTGAGCTGATGCTTTATGCTGTTGTTGCAATAATTGTTGTTGTACGGCTGAGGAAGAGATAACATAGGCGACATCATGCAGTAGTGGCGGTAAAGAAGACGCCTTCTTCTCTGCGCCATTCATGCGGCTGCTACAGTCTGCGCGGTGTTTGACGTTAGTCGCAAGTGCGGCATGTGCGCGTTGCTCATTCGAATCTTCGCTAGTGTAGCCGCCGTTGTGCTCCTCATCGCTGGGACTACGTGGAACGGTGGACTTAGTTTTACCAGCGACATCCTTGCGCTTCTTATGGCCGCTCGGTGTGCGCGTTTTGTGTGAGCGTTTCGTGCGGTCGTGCGACGCTGCTGTATCGCCTGAAGCTGTGTTTGAGTGATCCATCTTAGCGCTATCGTCTTGTGGACCACCCAAATAATTCGATATTGAGGTCGCGACGAACGCCGTTAGACAATTTGAGATCTCCGCGTAATCTTTACTGGTCTTTAGACTATTGTTTCTACTCGAGCTGGAGCGATGTTGATGGCTTTGCTCCTTACTACTTTTATTTTTATGACTTTTGCTGGTGCTGCGTGTGCTGCTATGATGCGCGTCGTCTTCGTTTGACGGCGCTGATGAATCGTCTTCGTTGTTCGAGCTTGTACCAATATCCAGTCCTTTCTCCTTGCATATTATGTCATAGAGTGCGCTAATTGGCCGAGATTCGCTGCGCACGCGCACGGCGCGTCTCTTGCCAGCAAAGCGGTGGGAGTTGCGACTGCGACCAGCGGCTGTTGTTGTTGCTGATGCGGTTGGTGAGTTGCCTGTGGGTGATGTGGGAGATGTAATGGGTTTGTCGATGTCGTTCTTGTTATGCTTGTTATGATTTATGTACTCATGCTGTTCTTGTTTTTGTTGTTGTTGTTGTTGTTGGGTTATATTGTTCTCTAAATGATGTTGACTACTACTTTCACTATGATTAGTATAATTATTACTACAATCACTACAATTACTCTTTATATTAACAACAACAAAGCTACCACTATCAATACCGTTATCATCAGCGTATGCTGCGTTTGTTGTTAATATTGCATTATCTTGACAACAATCACCTGTCTCTGTGGGGCGCCCAAATGCTGGCGACGATTTCGCTAAAGGTTCGCAACTTTTCCTTTCGCCGCTGTTGTTGTTGTAACCGCTGCTGCCCGCAGAACCGCCACGAAAAAAAGCTGCACGTGCGGCTGCCGAGCTCCGGTTGTTGCTGCTGCTGCTGCTGCCGCCGCCAATGGCAGGTTCGTTGATCGGCGCAATGATCCGTTCCCGATCGCGCTTATCCACCGACGAAGGCGAAGTGGTGCTCGCACGACCAATAACTGCTGCTCCGGTGCCGATCGGCGGTGGTACAACGGTAGCGGTGCTTGTCTTGGGAAAGTAATGTTCGTTGACCAACTGCGACGGAGTATTGTAGACGCTTTGATAGTTCTCATTCAGGGCCGCAACATCGTTGGCCTTCGGCGTATGGATGTGTAGGTTGACGTCTGTGTAATAGGCTGGTGCCGTGTGATGATGGAAGTGCGGATGTACACCGTGATATCGTGTCGAGTTGGAGGATGACGATGCTTTGGTGCCTGTTTGTTGCTGTTCTTTCTGTTTCGACTGTTGTTGCTGGCGTTGTAATTGTTGTTGCTGATGTAGTTGTTGTTTTGTTTTATCGTAAATAGACGACGCTTGCTGGCAGCTCGATTTGGCAGTGATTGATGCGGAGGATAGACTACAGTTGGACGATTTGTTGTCGTTCTGGGGACTATGTGTAGTATCGACGGATTCTGGAAGGCGAGAGGGGAAGAAAGAAAGAAATTAGTATTAAAGAATTAAGTATTTAATTAATAAAAGTATCAATAATTTTTTATAAAGTTTTTAAAGAACAAAAGTCGCTTCCGATGGACCCACCTAAAATAAAATGCACTCTTCTCACAAGCTTACGCATTACAGCCAGAATATTGCTAAAGCACATGCGGATATGGACGAAGCAAAACAAAAAAATTTAGTTGCTGGGGACACAATCACAAGCCCAACCAGGTCTGATGGAGGAAGTTCCTGCTTGATAAGTATTTGGGTTTGAATTTTACAAATGGATATTCTGTAATAAGGAAGAAAGATTTTATATTCTGGTCTGTGAAATGTCGACGGCGATAAACAGAGCCGCTAAGGAGACTGAGTTGTTAGAAGCCTTTTCAATGAAATCTCTATCTCAATTGCCCTTTCAACTCATGCTCCAGCAAAATATATCTTTTTATATGTAAAAATCGTGGTTCTCCACTGGAGACAAGCTCGGATGCCGATTATTAGCTCATATATACAAATTTAATGTCCCAAGGCAGCGTCAAATAGTCTCAATATGAAATCAAACTTTGAAAAAGTAGTTTGACCATACAGTGAGATAAGAATTGGATTTACATTTATTATATGAGAAAATATTTTAAAAATTGGAAAAAATTGTCTTTGCGCAGATTGGGGCGACTTTAGAAAAGCCTCAACACAAGCACAACGACAGCCCGCCGCAAGCTTTGCATGCATAATTTTCTAACTACACACGTATGTATGTATGTATGTACATAAATATATTCAATGCAAAAACCACAAACGCAAATGTCCCAATTGTGGTAAGCATAATTACATAATTTCAATTCGCAATTTCAAAAACTACACCGTTATAGCGCGCTGACTGTCGCTACATTTACGTCTAATCATTTAAGTAATTCTTTTATGAACTTTTGTATGTTTTTTATGAAAAAAAAAAATCATCAGCAAAATTATATTTTTTCGTTTTGGAAACTCGTCTTGATGGGAAGATGTGGAAAATTATGCAAATGAGGACGCCACACTAAATTTTAAAATCCAATTTCACAAATTCATTTATTGTTAATATTAACACGAACTGAGCACATAACTAAAAGAAAGAAAAAATTAAACAATAAAATGTCATAAAAAAAAACATTTGGAAAATCGACAAAATTTTGTTTTCGAAAATTTGGCTATTTTTTTTTTTTTTTGATTTTGACATCTTCTTCCCATGATTTTGTTATTTTTTTTTGTATTTTCTTTGATCGCAAAAAATCGATTTCATATTATAGGCCGCTCAGAAATGAAAAATAGTCCTCAAATACATATTTATGTATGCATATGTATAGTTGATTCCATTATTATTACTGTTGCGCTTTGCTGCTCCAAAATATATACAGACACAAAACCGAATTTTTTACTCGTGTTGCGCGCATGAATCTAGATTCTTTGCGTATGCCATCTTTTTAGTGGTTCCAAACTAATTAGTTCCTGGACAAACGAAGCAATGCTCGCATTTCATTCGGAAGCGACGATTTCCATTATTTTATCGCCATTTGCGACAATCTGCTTTCTACACCGTGAATCATCTTTTACATCAAAATTGCCGGAACGAAATCGAAATTGTGAATGATTGGCTCTTACAATGTTTGGGCCATAAAGCAATTCATATTTCAGCTGTTGGAGTTGTGTTTTCGCCTTTAACGTCTTCATCGAAGAAAAATTGTACGATATAGCGTGTTTCCCCATTCTTGGTGTCCCTCTTTCACTGAGTGAAGTGATCAAAATTTCTCACGAAGCGATTTTCGGCGGAGCTTCTCCTCCAATTTGTGGTTTTTGTGTCTTGATGTCTTTCCAACGAATGGAGGGAGCTACAGTGTATACTAAGCCGCCTCCGAACGACTGATGGTTTTTTGCGAGGAGCCTTTATTTCATGTCATAAATACACTCGGAGGGGTGGACATTCCCTGCCGAGAGGCGAGCGCAATTAGAAAATTTAGCTTAATTTTTATTTAAATTAATTTTCAATAACTTTTGGATGTTGCGATTTTTTCCACGCATTTGTAAAGTAAATTAGTCTAAGAATGGCATTAAGAGACTCAGAGAGCAATGATGGTGCAACTCTCGGTAGGTCGTTTATAATGTTCGGTGTAATTGTAGGAGATTTCTTTCAGTGATTTTGAGTTCATCGTCACTTGAGTTTCCAGGTCGTTCTCGTTCGACTTCTGCCAAATTCGGCTGGAACACCTTGCGTGCCAGCTACCATTCGTGCCGGGATTTCTCGTCGAGAGTGTGTCGTACCTTGTTTTTATGCATTGGATTTTGTATTTCTATATTTTGTCCGCCAAGATTTCAACGTAAGGCCGCAAGGTGAACAGTTAAATGGAGCTAAATGGGTGTTGAAAAATGTTTAAAGGCATGGAGAAGCTTTACTTTTCATAATAAAAGCATTAAGAGCAATTAATTGCACATTACACCAGTTTATAAAATTCAAAGCGGATTAGTGTTGCTGCAATGATTAATGGAACAAAAGTGGCGGGGGAAGAGCGAAGAGACCAGAAAGTTAGTGCACTCAATTTATTTTAAGCCAGTCAAGTCAACTCAGTCAACTCTGCCGGTAAGTCGTCAGTCATTAGTGCCACTTGGAGACTTGAAATGAAATTAGTGTGATGGCAGGTGGGTGGTATTTACAGTTATTTACAATAACTATGTATGCTCACTTGGAAACTGCTGAGCCCGATACTTTATTGCTCTTATTGCCATGATTATTTGCTAAATTGCTGTTGTTGTTTTCTTATTATTTCCTTTCTGTGCTTTTTTTTGCGTTTTGCATTTCGCAGTTTCTAGGTTAGGTGAGACCAAGTCAGGGTCGCTGAGGGATTAAGTGAAATCTGCTTTGGCAAATCATTTAAATGCGCACCTGAGCTGCCACAGTCGGTCCGTCGGTCCACTTTGTTGGTGCAACCTTTGCTGGCGTCAGCTGGGCGAGTGAAAACGTACAAATTATGTCAAGGTAATGAAGTGTGGAAGGTAAAGAGAGGGAAGAGTGTATATATGTGTGTGTGTGGGTGTGTGAAGCAGTGTACGAGCAAAGTGCAATTTGCTGTTGCAATCTTTTATTTGTTGTCGAAAGCAACAACGTCCAATTAAACACTATAAAATCTAGTTGAAGGCGCGAGTAAAAACGTGATGTAGAGTATGCACACATACATACATATATACATACATATATATGTGCATTTGAGTGTACTCCTTGCATGTGATCCGCTAAAGTGCTAATTGCCAACAAATTTTGGCAGAAATTAGCTTAGCAGGTGGTACATGTAGGCCGGGAAATTAAGTTAATTTGCATGCGCTCGGGGGTATACACGTAAATATGTATATAAAAACTTGTAAGTGTATTTTTGGGTTAAGAGAAAGTGGTTTTATGTGCTTGAATTATTTACTGAGAAAAGTTTAAGTTCAGTTCTAAAATAATAAAGAGAAATCTCAAATATCTAAATATCTGAGGCAAAAACATTTTGTTTAACAAACTTTTTTTTCGGCAATTTTAAATTTATTTTTTTTTTTAATTCTTCGAACTAATCTTAGTTTCCACCATTAATTTTTGCAGCTATAAATTTTTAATTTTTTTTTTTTCAAGTATTTGTATGTATATGCAAATGTTTGAGCGCAGTTGAACACCCACTAATAGCGAATTAACCTCAAAGGCGCCAATTGAAAATTGAGGTAAAAGAATTAGCTTGAAAACACCCACATATGTACATACATACAATACAAACCTACATGCTAACATATAAACGTACGATTAAACAAGTAACGCGCAGAATTGACACCTGAAGGTGAGTGAATAGCTAAATAGACCGTTAAAGAGGTCGACATACTTATTTAAGTGCTTCATATGCAATGTTTTCATGGGTTTTGAATAAAAAATTTAGAGGAAAATAAAAAATTTTGTAAAAAAGGCATAAAAATCAACAGCAGACTTTGCAGTGGTAGAAAAAATAAATTAAATTTAAAAAAGATAAAATAACAATTCAATTACATATCTGAAACGTTTGCTCTTTTTCACTTTTAATGAGATTTCAATTTCGATTTCCTCTGACTTTTCAATGAAAAAAGCAGAACATACCAAATATGCAGAGATTTTGAGTTTACAAATTAGCGCAATTGAGAATTACGTCTCCACAGCCGTGAAGGCGACTAAGATTTCGATATAAAAAATTAATAATAATAAAATTAATAACAATAATAAATGTTGTTGTCAATTTGTCAGATAACAAAAAGGAAAAAATTCACTATTAATTTTTCCTCCGTTTGCAACTACAACAAGTTTACTCATACGCCGCGTGGGCTGCTGCGTATTTACTGAATATGTATGTATGTATGTATGTGTGTGTGTTATGTAAGTACGTTCAAAGTAAGTACATTCACATATAACAACATAAAATGTGGGTAAACTTGTCGCCATGACGTCACATTGCATGACACAGCAAGCTTAAAAAAAATAGGTATATATTAAGAAATAACAACAAGAAAGATCTTAAGTAAACTTACAGGTTACCATTAAATAATATCACCAATAAAATTAAAAAAAAATCCACACCAAAATTTTTTCTCAGATTTTTCGTTGCAAGAAAATAAGTTTAATAATAAATTAAAATTAAATAAATCAAAAAAAATTCAAATAATAATAATTATTAAATTAACTATCAAATAATTTAAAAAATTTTTAGCTCTTTCTAAATATAATATATATAGGTTGTCAAATATCTCCCTTTCGCTTTTTTGAATTTCGCGGTTATGTACAAAGCGCTACAGAGCTCGTATCTGGCAACCTTTGATATATACATAATTTGAAAAGTCTTGACATAACCTACAAAACAACGCTATGCATGATTAGTTTGGATATTGCGTTCAACAGTTATAGACGTGTAAACATGGAGTTCACTAACGCCGAAACTCGCGCTATTTTAAAGTTTTC